TCCTATAGTGGGCGATCAGACTTTTCAATATCATCGACTCACTCAACATCGTAGCCGGAGTAATATGTGATTGTTGATACCTTTTCCTGATCCAATCGGCTGTCCCCAACAGAGTGGAAGCTGCTTCCCCATATTTTCCAGTCGATGATCTACCTTTTATCACGGCCCCAAGTAGACTTGTTCGCCACAAGGTTCAACAACCAACTTCTGGAGTTTGTATCACCAATCCCAGACTCCTGGCTTGGGACCTCGATGCGCTCCTGCTCTGCTACCATGAGTATTATAGAAGCTCTTGGCCACTAGCAAAGTTCTACTGCTTTTGGTGGCACACTTCTGGCCAGCAAGTAGTTGTTTCGTCGACGTAACAAGCCTGGCAGAGCCAAACTCAGTACCGCTTCCCGACCGGCACAACCTGCTTCTTCACCTTTACTCAGAACTATGCCACGGATCCCCTCAGACCCTTAATCTACATGTTGTAGGCTACTCTTGTCAAGACGCCACAGCTATTACTTCAATTGATCATACTTCAAACTGTTCCTTGTACGACGATTATTGAAGAAGTTTGAAGAATGATGCAAGAATTAGGGAACTACTTCTCCCAGTCTGCCTCTGCTCCGGTCATCGCTGAGTTCCTCCAGCATCTCCATGCCACTAGGAAACTCAAGGGTACTATGTTAGCTACCTAGTTGGCTGCTATCAACTCGGTTTTGGCTACTGCAACGGAGCCTTCTACGCTCCTACAACTCACTGACCAGCCTCGGCCTCCGGCCTGGGAACTGTCAGTCATCCTTCGTCATATGATTCTACAGGCTACGAACGTTTAGAAGACAGGGACTTTGAGCAAAGTGACATTCTTCTTCCTGGTAGCTTGGCTACTGCTGCTCGTATATGTGTGAACTTCCATGTACTTGATATCAATTGCATGCGGTCGAGCGGAAGAAGCACCGCAAGGTTTTCCTGGGTTTCCGTTAGGACTTCATTGTGAAAAAACAACTGCCATGGGCAACCGGACTAGATGTTTACCATTCCCCTGTTGTCCACCATCTTTGGGCCTGATGATACTGAAGACCTGAAACTCTGACCTGTTAGGGTTTTGTGCATTTTTACTTGCTGCTTGTAAGGATCGCCGATAACACAAGCATCTTTTCATCCCATTGTCCATGACATCCAGGACGGAAATGTCTCGCACCACTTTATCCTTCTGGATGAGGGGCAGCATTTTACATTCTTATGCCTTCACTGGATTACTGCCTTCGACAGCTTCCAATCTGCATGAGACACAGGCATTAGCTTCTACTATGGCTCCACACAGTAACTGCTCACTCCACGCCATCATGGAATGGTGCTTTTGGCGGTCTTCTCCTCCCACTACTTGCGAGATCTTTCGGTCAAGGACGTCCAAAGCCTGTACCAGTTTGGACCCCTCGTTTTGGCACAACAACTATCCACGGCCCAACAATGCAGATGAGGAACAGTAACACGCGGTTGCTGCTTCCCTGTATTTTCCTGAATATAAGTCTTGATGTCTGCCTTTTGTTCTTATTGCTTATGGGTTAGAACTACTTCACTTAGTCTTATGCTAAGACACGGAGATACTGCCACCCCGGGCTTGGATGAATCTTGAGCACGGTTCTGTATCACGATGTGGAAGGGTTCGACATTTCACGCTTCCTGACCTCTACTTTTTGAAGCAATTACGTCAGTGAAGTGTGTCACTCCCAAATTCCAGTGGTTTTCGTTGCGTTCCGGCTCCGAAGGTGCCAGGCTCATCCTTTGACTAAGCTTATGTAAAGGAGTGAGGGTCAATTTGATGATGACTGGAACTGAACGTTAAAACTGAGCTTTCTGAGTTGTGCTTCACTTTCACCTGCCCCTGGTCGGTGTCTGTGGGAGTCTTCTCGATGCAGGGGCTGGTATATTGTAAATCGTGGCAAGCTGAGGCCTTACTTGCCGAGTTGCGTCCTTCTGTTCTTTGGAGGTTGCGGCTGAACACCACATCGCTCGGGAGTACCCATCTCCTTGGGAGACATTGTGCTTATCGGTAGTAAGCGAAGGAGTTCAGGAGAACTCATCATCAGCATAGGAGTTGCGCTAGTTGTAACAGGCCTCCCTTGTGCATTGCTATCTATGGTTGTTACCAGTCTACACAGTTCCTGCTGTTCGCACTGTCAAGACAAAGGGCATCTGTGTCCCACCGTCCGACCATGGGATAAGTAAAAATTTTAACTATAAATTGTATACATGTATTTATATACTTATCCTATCTCACCCAACCTCCCCGCTATGCAGATTATCCAAGATTATCCTAGTGGCTCCAAAAACGAGAAATGATTCAAAGGTGGTCATGTGTGTAGATAGTGGGGCGTGCTGCATGCTTTGGTTGACAGCTGGGAAGCTTTCGTTTAAGGAGGGCAGCATGGAGTGCATGGGCGATTGGACAAGAGAGGCCTTGGAAGAAAAGTTTACATCATTCCACTCAGTGTCAAAGCAAGAGAGAGGAGCATACCCTGAGATAGGATAAGTATATTAAATATACAATTTATAGTTAAAATTTTCAATGTTGGATGATTTTGAGCCAGTTTGTCACTTCACATGAATGACAGACTATTTGAATCTTGAATCTTATTTATTTTGTTTCACATCTTTATCATGTGAAATTGTTTTCTCTTAAAATATTGTAATAGAGTGACTGAGTGAGTTTAATTTCATACCACTCTTTGCAATATTGTCAAATTCGTTTTCTCAAGGGTGATATGGATTTCAATATTGTATCCATATAGAGTGCTAACCTACTACCACGATGGGTGGCCAAATGAACTTCGACATTGCTTTTAATTTGCACCGCCAAGGTTGTTATCCACATATCAACCTCTGCACTTGCAGATAGAAGGTTGATACGCAGAAAATCAACCTGCCAGAACAATGGACATAACATACCCTAGTGGTATAAGGGAATATACCTGCCTAGCACTTAGGACTTGTTAATTTACTTATCAGTGCTGGCTTCCATATCAATCTCATTGATTAAGCCTGGATTAATTCCTGGCTTCCATTTGTTTATTGCCATTTCCCTTGTTAAATGCCACCATTGTTATCTCATCATTCATGCCTGGATTAATATTGCCTGACTCCCATTCGTCCATCCCCCTTACCAATTTAGAACTATTTATGTACTGGCTTGTTATCTTATCACTGTTGTTGTTTCACATGTACTTATATAACTATCTGTTTCCTACTGTTTCATTCCTCTGATAAAGGAGTAAGAATATACTTCGAAATGTTGTGTTCCTGAAAATATAGAAGTTAACATCCATAAAATCTCGCCTTTAAACAAGAACTTGTTATCCATTAAGTCGTAGGCTTTAGGAAAAGTGAAACTTTGATTCTTGGAATATCTCAGCAATATCTATTTCATATGCTTAGGGGATAACTGTACTGTGTTTGACGAATTGGTGACGTATACCGGTGGTTATATAGCCGCAAATTTAGTTATATCAGTGTTTGTTTGAAGTAAAGTAACAATTAAATTTATGATACCGTTTTGTTTTTTTAAACATTCCATCCATTTTATCGAGAGATGCGAGTTAATTGACATAGGACTTCTCCAAATGATAGTGCCTTGAAAAACTGTGTTACCCCAATAGTGTAGGGATACATTCAAAGGTTTTGGTGAATTGGTTTTCAAATTGCGACCATATACAGTCAGACCTCATATATCCGAACTTCAGATATATGAATACCTCGGTTTCCGAACATTCTTCACAAAAAAAATTTTTTTTCTTGTAACAAGTTACCTCGTATATCCGAATGTTCGGTTTCCATATCCAAACGGTCAATTTTGGAAACGAAACAGCAAAATATGTACAAATTTGCCTCGTATATCTGGACACCAAGGCTGTCGTCGGCAAGATGTCTGATGTTTACCGCTCCTCAACAGTGCTCACTGCATTGACCTTTGATCTATCCTATATCAAAACCCAAGGTCTGTTGTCGGTGAGGTATCAAAACACAATGTCTACCGCTTGTCAAAACATTGTGCTGGCTGCTAGTTAATTCATTGTTTATTGAATATTTATCACAGGGCGTGTAGGTTAATTAGAGAAGAAACAATTAAAGTTTGACATTGAGTGGACACTGATTCGAATCGTTGATTGATGCTGGCTCATGCGTTTCAAAGATAGTCATAGTATAAAAAAAAAGAATTTCCAAGGTGAAGCAGCTAGTGCCGACAAAGAATCTGTTGTAAAAGGCCGAGAGGAATTGAAAAGTGTGCTCCACGAATATGACCCAGAAGACATATTCAACATTGACGAAACTGGACTGTTCTATAAACTGGGATCTAATCACACATTGGCGTCACAACCTGTTAGTGGACCTAAGCGATCAAAGGAAAGGATCACACTAGCATTGTGTGCTAATTCAACTGGATCTGTAAATATCAAACCTTTTGTTATTGGCAAATCCCATAGGCCTAGATGTTTTGATAGCAATTTCAATCCTGAGATATATGCTAGATATAGAAACAACACAAAGGCGTGGATGACAGCAGAGCTGTTTCATGATTGGCTGCTGTCTTTTGATCGACAGATGAGGTCACGTGGAAGGCTGGTCATTTTGCTTGTGACAATGCGGCTAGTCACAACTGTAAAAGTATGGAACTGACCAGCGTGACTGTCCATTTCCTGCCACCCAACACAACCACACATTCAGCCAATGGATGCAGGGATCATACGGACATTTTTAGTTGTTTTGTTTTCACGTGTGGCTGATCGCCTAGGTCCTGATTCAGATATCCGAATGATTTGTTTGTCCGAACAATTCAATAAAACACCAAAGTGTTCGGGTAAACGAGGTCTGACTGTATGCTGATTATACGGTTAGAAATTTATAGCATTGACCAATCAGAACTCATGTTGAATTAGAATGCAGTATATGTGTCAGGAACAGTTACTATGTGTATATAAAATAATTCAATGTGATTTTCTCCTCTTTATTTTCAGTTTCTCTTTCTCTGAGCTTGGTAACGCTGTAGCAGAGAGATACTTGAATACATCTGAAGACAGGTAGGAAATACCCTTTAGTGATTTCAGGTCAGAATAGAGCCTCAGGACCTCATGCTTCTCACCCTGTGGGATTCTGGGTCAGAAAAGATCCCCTGTACCTCAAGCTTGTAGCTTAATGTTATTTCAGGTCAGAATAGAGCCTCAGGACCTCAAACTTGTAGGTGTAATGGGATTTCAGGTTAGAATAGAGCCTCAAGACCTTGTGTTTCTCACCCTGTGGAATTCTGTGTCAGAATAGAGCCTCAGGACCTCATGCTGTGGGATTCATGGTCAAAAGCTGGTAGCTGAATGTGGAAATCTGGGTCAGAACAGATCCCCAATACCTCAAGCTTGTAGGTCTGGTGGGATTTCAGGTCAGAATTGAGTATAAAGACCTCATACTTCTCACCCTATGGGATTCAGGTTAAGTTTTACGCCACTTTTTAGCAATATTCCAGGACCATCATGGAGGGTGACACCAGAAATGGGGTTCACACATTGTACCCATGTGTGAAATCGAACCTGTGTCTTCAGTGTGATGAGCAAACACTTTAACCACCAGGCTACCCCATTGCCCCTAGAATAAGTATGAATTACTCATAGTTGTCATATGAGCCGATATACGCTGGGATTGTGTAGTCAGCCTCTGTGGCGTGGATATTTGTCCTTGTATCCAGCAAGTATGAATCATAACATATGCTTTGTGACTATTCCACCCAACACACTGATTTTGAGGAAGCGTTTTTCATGATGTGCACATGAAAATTATCTGAGTTAAATCATTCATTATACATTACTGAAAATCAGATAAGTCAGTTAAACGTGTTTTGATATGTGGCATATGTCACATCAGGCCCCGATTTCTAGAAACAAACTTAAGTTTTTACTCAAGTCTCAAACTGAGTGTGACAGTTTGATATAGGTGAGTTTTTAACTCAAGTGCATTTTTAAAACAGAAAAGCCCAAGTAACTTCAGTAATATATCTACCAAACTCAAATTTTCTACTATGTTTGAGCTTAATATTGATTTCAGTTTATTCTAGGAAATGCATTTTCCTGCGTTTTCTCAAATTTGAGTAAAAACTTTAACTTAAGTCAATACTCAGACCTAAGTTTGTTCGAGAAATCGGGGCCTGGTCTTTGAGTCAGTGGACAGACAATTCATAATCAGCTACATAGATATCCACATGCTATCCCACGATTGATGGACCAAAGTCATTGGTGTCAAGAGTGGCAGTGCTGGATCAGTCGCTGTTGGGCAAACATCATGTTTTTGGATGAATCCAGGTTTACTTTGGACTTTTTTGACCAGTACAACAGAGTGTGGTGTGGATGGAATGAGTGTTTTGGAATCACTGTGACTGTCAGAATGCCATTATATGATATTCATGTACGTGTCACTGGGTAGTACTAATATGACAGCATCCTGGGGGCACACATGGTGCCATATGTGTGGAGGACACCATTTTGTGTTTCACAATGGCAACATAAGAGAGCACACTGTGGATGTTGTTACTAAGGATCTCCAACAGGAGAATATAACCACCTTACCATAGACAGCACACAGTGGCACTAATCAATATGTCTGGGATGTCCTTGGACTGCGCATATGTCATTGTCAACAACCACCAAACACTCTCAACAAACTTGGCACTGCCTTGAAGGAAGAATAGGATGGAATCAACCAAGTTGACATTGGATGTTTGATTAGGAGTATGCTTCATCGAATGTGGGATTGTCTTGAGAGCAGAGTCAGATTCACACAATCCTATTGAGTTTGACTCTTTATAGTGAATGACAACAGCGTGCTTTAACCAATCATCTGAAGTAATCTATGATCATCCAAGGTTCAACGACTTGCAAATCTAAGTCAGATGTCCTTATTACACTGTTGAGGTATCTATCTCAAGATAGATGCCTTTTCATTGAAGATCCACTACTTAAATTTGTATCATATAGTGGGTCAGGTGTTATTCCTGATTTGGAGATTTTGTTACTTTAAGGGGAGATTGATGAGTCTCTGAGGACAATTATTTTTGTCAGTCTTATTTATTCTGCCTTTCATATTGTTGTCAGTTACTTGACTTCATTCAAAGTTTGTGTATGAACTAGCGATGAAGAATCTGCAGTACGTAAGCCTGCACAGGCTACTGGGTAGCTGAAACTGGCTGAGGTCAGTGTACAGTGGACACTGACACAGTCTGTGATCATTGAACTATGGAATAGGTTACAACAAACCCAAAATGTTGACGATCATCCAAGTTCAGGGTGTTCTGGATTATCAGCAAGAGTACAAAATTAGTTGTTCCCAAAACATATTCTATCAAATTAACAGTTATGGGTCAAGCAATTAGAAATCATCTACATGATGGACACTCTTTACGAAGCATCAGTATTCCCAATGTTGAAACTTGGGTAATCATTGTTGATCATTTGTCATGTTTTGAATGAGTCACACTGCACTTGGTAGGTGTGCTCATGTCTGGTGACACTAAAATGAACATCAAGCTAATGTCAACCTGAGACCTCATACCAGATTTGGTTTTGGATTGGTTATTGCATGGGTGGCATCACTATGACTGAGCACACGCTACTTCATATTGTGAAGGGAGCGTAACTGGACAGTACTTTCAGGGCAGCATCCTGACACCATTTTTTTACCCTATTGCAATACATATGAGTCAGGATGACAATGCCAGTGTTCATCATCAATGCTCACCTCCAGCAGCACAACATCCCTGCCATGGCCACTTCGGCTTACCATGTTTGTGAGGGTCTGCTATTTGCGCCTTCCGTAATCGCACCAAGTTCACATTATTCTTAGCAGTCATGAACTGTACTAGTTCTATAATATTTTTGGGATAGCTTGTGTTTCAGAAAAAGAGGCTTAATGCTTTGGTTAACATTATTATGCTGAATGCAAGTTTAAAGTAACTCAGAACTTAGCATGTTCAGGGAAGTAAGAACTTTCATATTATTTACTGGAAACACTGAAACAAAAGAAATTGTGTTGGTCAGTCTTTTACAGCATGTAGTTTTCTAGTCTACAGCATGTAGTCCCTTCATGATTCAAATGTATGAAATGTATATATCTTTGCAGATTAAATAGTGTGAAATGTCTCATCAGCTACTTTGATAAGAAGCGAAAGGTAAGCTGTACTACCAAGATTGCTAGTGTTTCCAAATCAATTCCCTATGTTATGATGATTTCACATTGTGCTAAACTTTACAGAAATAGAGGCTGTTTGTAAATAGTAAAGTTAGGAATATTTTGCCCTATATCGCCCGTGCACTCCATGCTGCTCCCTTAGTTTGACAGCTGAGCTTGCTCCTGGGAAGCATGCAGCATGCTCCACTACCTGCTCATGTGACCACCTCTCTCTTGTCATACTCTTTCTTGTCACACTGTGGTGTAGATATGCTGCAAGCTGTGAGAAATTTCTTCTGATTATTCCCTACCATCCCTTTCATCATTAGGAAGACCGATACTTCTTGTTGGAAGAAGAAATTCTGTCTGCAATGTAAGAAGATATTTTCAACTGCAGACCCCCATATGTCTTGCATTGAATGTGTGGGTTTATGTTCTTGGGAAGGACAATGTGATCGGTGAAGACACCTCGTCTCTCGGACAGGTGACTTTCAGAAGAGCACAGCCCTTCCCCTTTCAAGAAGGCTAAGAAACAATGCCCTATTAAGGTGACCCATTGCTCATTTACACCAACCTCTGAGAAGGAAGATTTCTTGGAAGTTTCCTCTGACTCCTATTTATCAGAAAATCTACGTCGTCTCCTGCACCCGACTGATTCGCTGTCTCCTGTTCGTTACGTCTCATTTCGTGTGCTCGTGTTTTGACATTCATCGAATCCTGAGAAGACACCCCGATTAGCAAGACCTAAGGACCAGAATGTTGTCTCATCGTCCGTTGAATTCTCTGATTGATTCATCAAATCCAGGTGTGGAGGATGCTTTGGCAGTTCCTGGCCAGTTGCATTCGGCGGGTCCCTTAATTTTGACCCGTTTTCCAAATCAGACGGAGCTGTAAACTGATTTGCCATCTCTTAGCACTCCATGAAGATCTCTCCCGGAGGACATCAACGATTTGCCCAATCATCCCAGTTTGCCCAATCATCCCAGTTTTCTGAATCTTCAGCCATCATCTAGTGGTGTGCCGAATAGTTCCGTTTTCGAGGGATTGCTCCCATTTGTCCGATTGCATGGGTTCTTTGCATCGTTTTCATTTGATGGATCATCCCCGTTCTACGAATCATCCTGCTTCACCGAATCATGCTACTTCTACGTGTCACCATGGTTCGACTTTGCCTTTATCAACTGACCTTAGACTTTCCAGTTCTGCGGCCTTTACGGACTCAGCGCGCCTCCCTGTACTCTATCTCTATCAGCTAGACCCCAGATCATTCTGAAATCCTGGGAACCTTCTCAGGATACCTCAGCTGCATCCATACCCAATTTGTACATGATGATTTGTGCAACCTCAGTCACTTGGTCTCAGATGCAACTGCCTACCCGTTCTGCACCTCTACCTCCCAGTTTGGCAGATGGTTGCCCACACATTTTGTCGTACCTTGAGGCACCTCTCCCGGTTCGTCACACTGGATCACCTGCACCTACTATTTCTCCTACTTTATCTGGAATCAGGACTTGGCTTCGATCACCTTTCCTGCCCAGGGCCTGCATTACTCAGATGGTGATTTCATTGAATGATGCGTTCAAGAGTCTGAAGCATGTTAAGGATGGGTTCAGGTCGACGAAATTCTCCTAATCATTCATGTATACTCATGGTTTCTCCAACCTCACTGTCGCACCTCCAGTTGATGAGGATATCGTCACCATGTTCCCTAAACGGAACCACTCACCTTTCTAATCGAGGATTGTGAGTAAGCTCACTTAGCCATGGCCATTTGTTGCACTCTACCGTCCGTTAACTGTATCCTCTTAGCTGTTGATGCAGTTGCTGCTGTGGTAGCTTACATATGAGGCGCCATGCCGCTAGTTCTGGATCAGTTCCAGACAATTTTAGACCAGTTGTCACACTTTTTCAGTTACATGCTTGCTGTCAGGCATAGAGGCCCTCTTAACCAAACTTCTTGGGATGACCGGTATATAGTAAAATTGTTCTGTCAGCCATAGTCGTCTGAATACCTCTTCAACAGCCAAAGAAGTGATGTCTCAAAATAGTGGACAGCGAAACCCAATTTCAGGTTTCTGTTGAACTTTTGAAGCTACAGAAGACTCATCTACAAGAAACCCTTAAACAGCAATGCACAGCACAATTCACTCCTTCTAATCCAGAGAGGGAGATTTTTTTTCATGGCAACTTCTGGCCACAGCAGAGGGAGGAAACAGGGACATGGTGGTTCCTCCAAGCGCCCTTCCAAATCTGGTTCCGGGGCTGGCTCATGAAGGCAGTGACTGCCTGAACTCTTCACACGACTGGGAACTTCCACCTCCGGTCGTCCTGATCTTGGATACCCCAGTGGGCGGAAGACTGGTAATCTTTGCCCCTGACTGGACCATCCTCGACGACACATTTGTCCTGTCAACACTGTTACAGGGTTACAAGATACCAGTCATAGGATCCCCGCCCCCGACCTTCACACTGATGCACCCATCGTATCCTGTAAATCAACTTCCAACTACAAACCACCATAGTTGCTTGAGAGGCGTGCAGTAGAACCTGTCGGTTCATTGCCCATCACTCCCAGCTTCTACTCCCCGTTATTTCTTGTCCCAAGAAAGCCTCTGTCTTAATTTCAACATGAAGCTGTCCAACACCTAGTATCTGCTACCACTGCCTCACTTAAGGATGGTCGCAACAAGACTTTTGTGAACCTTCCTGAAGTAGGGAGATTATCTTATCAGCCTCGATCTTCAGGATGCCTACCTTCATGTCCACATCGGAAATATTTCTGCTTCATTTTCGAAGAAATTCACTACCAATGGAAAGTCCTTCCATTTGGAATTTCTATGGCCCCATGGCATTTTACCCAAATAGCGAAGCCCATCACTCGATTCCTCCATTGCCGAGGGATCACGTTCGAGTCCTACATCAACAATTGCATCCAGGCTCAGCAGGATCCGTCTGTCCTACATCATCTTCAGTTCACCACCAAGCTGCTTCCCAGGAGATAGCTCAGCTGTCCAACTAAGGGAGCAGCATGGAGTGCACGAGCCTAGGAATTAGTTTCCACTCAGCAGGTCGAATTGAAGAGTACAAGATGTGAGATAATATAAGTATATAAATATACAATTAAAATTATAGTTAACATTTCCAATTTTTAGTGGACCATACAGTTATTATCAATATATCTACAGGCATTTGACATTTATCCAAGACCTGCTGAATCATTGTTGAGGAGGCCCGCTATGGAGTTGTCATGGTTACAGAAGGCGATAGATGACAAAGATGGCCTGACTACAACACTGACTGATATACTTATGTCTTACTTCCTGATCAGGTATGTTCTGAAATAAAGAATCATGAAATAAATATGTCATATCTCATGCATGTGATCAATGTATACACATTTGCATTACTATTCATTACACTGTAAATCTTCTGCTTCTGTTTCAGGAAGAATGAATATGAGCTTCTTGAGTTGTGGAAGTCAACTGGTCACACGTTTACAGACATTGCCGACATGTATGTCAAGTCATTTGACAAGGCACTCGTGGCCGTTTACTGCCAAGAAAAAGACAATGTCTTTGAACCCAGTGATCAGTCAACACCACCTGGGGAAAGAGTAAGTCACATCGATAGTGGTGCCTGAATCACAAATACTTGCTACTGTTTTATGAGTTACCAGTGAATGTTGATTAATGGTAACATATGGCTGTTGCTTTATGTCAGTGCTTGACTATTGTTTTCTGTCTGCTTGACTGTTCATGTGTGTCAGTGCTTGACTGTTCATGTGTGTCAGTGCTTGACTGTTAATGTGTGTCAGTGCTTGACTGTTCATTTGTGTCAGTGCCAAACTGGTTTGTTTGTGCCAGTGCTAAACTGTTTTTTGGTGTCGGTGCTTGACTGTTCATGTGTGTCGGTGCTTGACTGTTCATGTGACCCATGAAGATCCAGGTTAGATTTGATCTTCAGTAACCCATGTTTGTCGTAACAGGCGACTAACGGGATCGGATGGTCATGCTCATGCTGTTGATCACTGGATTTTCTGGACCATGCTGGATTATTTATAGACCACCAGCATATAGCTGTAATATTGCTGAGTGCAATGTAAAAATAAAATCACTCACTGACTGTTCATGTGTGTCAGTGCTTGACTTTTGTTTGTGTCAGTGCTTGACTGTTGTTTATGTCAGTGCTTGACTGTTGTTTGGTGTCAGTGCTTGACTGTTGTTTGGTGTCAGTGCTTGACTGTTGTTTGGTGTCAGTGCTTGACTGTTGTTTGGTGTCAGTGCCTGACTGTTCATGTGCTTCAGTGCTTGACTGTTGTTTGGTGTCAGTGCTTGACTGTTGTTTGTGTCAGTGCTTGACTGTTGTTTGGGGTCAGTGCTTAATTGTTGTTTGGTGTCAGTGCTTGACTGTTGTTTGGTGTCAGTGGTTGACTGTTGTTTGTGTCAGTGGTTGACTGTTGTTTGTGTCAGTGGTTGACTGTTGTTTGGTGTCAGTGGTTGACTGTTTATGTGTGCCATGTTGGACTGTTGCAGGGTGTGATGCTGGACTGGTTATGGGTGTTATTGTTTGATTTTGCCGGTTGTGCATGTACCAGTACTGTTGAAATTAAAACCTGCATTTGTTATTTGATGTTATATTGGATTGATTCCATTGTTTCAGCTGCTATATCTTTTGGAAAATTTGAGGTTCTTCATGGACATGGCTGGTTGCACTGAAGGAAGTATCAGGATCCTGAGCCGCATTACAGATTTATTGGTAAGACTTGAAAATGTAAAAAACCTTTCCCAAATGATTGTATTTATGCCGTAGGTCGCACTGGGTGAGGGGCTAGGCAGGGGATCTGGATTGGGTGGGATGCTGGGATAGGAGAACTAGAAAAGGAAATGAGTTGGGTTACTGGGGCTGGGGACTTGTTGAGGAAAAACTATTGGAAACCTTGAGGGGAACTAGGTAGGGACTAAGATAAAGAATTTTGTGATAGGGATATATCAAAGGATATTATTCCAGGACAAGTTAAGCATCCATATGGGGGACCTGTAGAGGGGAGATGATAAGAAGACTGGATTGTTGAAAAGTAAGGAAAAACCCCAGCAGCCTTTTTGATTTTGGGGGAAGGGATGTTTGAGTGGGTAACTAGATGAGGTGCTGTGTAAGATGATGTCTGATGTCTGGACTGTGTGCTGCAGGAGAACCTGGAGGGGAAGTGGAAGGAGGAACCCGAGCGCCTGCAGCTTCTAGCAGAGCACCAGTACTACCTGGCCTGTTGTGACTGTGATAACGGCAACTACCACAGGGCAGAGGAATTGCACAAGAAGGTGATGAAGTACTGGAGGACGTAAGTAAAACAACCCCTATTGACATTGTTCAGGGACTTTGGTTGCGACTACAAGTCACACCTGTATCAATTGATTATGGGTCCAAGTTACTGATTTTGTTTCTTGATCTGTTAGCACCAAATTTTCTTGTTCTCATCAAAGCATCAGTGATGCTAGGGATGTAAATGACTTGATTGTCTTGTCATATAGCTAGAATATTGATGGATAAGGTGTTAAACAATAAACAAACTATATGACAGACTTACAGTTCATTCTATTTCTTATCGCTCTGGTGTAAAGATGTACTGAAACGACAATATATTTTGACAGATTTTTAGATAACCATATCGACAGATTTTGTCTAGAGGTTGACAGATGGCCAAATGAACAGATCAACACATTGACATACATCATCTCTGATTCATGCTACAGACTGGCAGATCAATCTTTATCTTTTTGTCCTCCTGCTTGGACATAAATATGATCATCTGTCATCTTTAGTGAGAAAGTAATATGAAGCTTTGACATTTTAGGGCCTGATGGTATAGAAAATCACTTTCTCTGTGTCCAGTACATGCTTTGTGTATCTATGTCAACATCTCTGAAGTCATCTTACGTTCAATCAAGTGCCTCTTCATCCCAGAAACTTATCTTTATCAGAAACTGCAACATCAGAAATATAAAGTACTACTACTCATATGATCTCTTTTTGGCAGGATTACCACCTCCAGCAGCCTCCAACCCACTTTACTGTGGCACTACACAGCCATTGCTCATTACCATCCATAATGGAGAGCTGCTGTATGAGAACAGGGGACAGTCTTTGCTTTACTTTACCTTTGGGACGTCTCAGTCACAAATGTATAAGGTCTTCACCACTTAAGCCCTCTTGTGTTGGCACAGAAACTGACTACTACAGTCCCACTGCAAAGATTAGAAATAGATACGCATACTTTAGTACCACTTTTGTTGTTTGTTATTTTATTGTTTATGTCTCCTTTCCCAAATTGGCCCCATGGGTTCCCAGATGAGTTCACGAGGGAGGGTATACATGCTACATCATAGAAGTTACCTATTTAAGGTATGCACATTATCAAATGGTGTCCCTGTCTTCTACCTGCTCGTCTTTCTTTTAACAAGTGATGTTTCACTAGTTTGGTGGAGATCTGTTTGGATAGTGATGGTTGTTTTTTTCTTCTACTTACCTCACCAATATACCAGCATATATACTGAATGTACTGTGGTTGACTGACAAGGCGTTACAATGAGAGGCCAAGGTGATCTGCCTTATGTCTGTTTTGATTGTATGTGTAAGGTCTGTCATGTTCGCTCTTGTGAGCGACATCATGTGCAAAATTGCAGACTGGTTGGAGAGGTGAACAGTGTGTTGACATATGTGTTGTTCAAGGTCGACAGTTTGATGGTTGCAGGGTTATGGTATGGGGAGGCATCTCATCTTAGGGTCGGACACATTGTCAGTGGCAGTCTCACAGGTCTGCGGTACAGGGACAAGATCATTGGGCCTCATGTGCACCTGTTCATATAAGGATAGAGACATAACTTCATTATGCTTCAGCAAGATACTGCCTGTCCACATGTCCCTTTTGTTTGGTAAGCCTGCATTAATACCAATGGTAGACACACATGATACTGAATTTGTGAACTGACATCACATCTCTTGTGTTTTGACACCACCACATCTCTTCAAGGCCATGACACGATGCCTAGTGTTAAATCATACAGAATTTGGTTTTATTTTGTCAACAGTTAAAAGTGATTAAGGAAATCACCAAAAATTACATTATTATCTTTTTGCATTATAAATAGCATTACATCAAACCGTGCACAGTTACTTTATTCCAGTAGTATATTTAGAAGAGCCAGTTTATGTTCTACATCTGTTTGAGACACTTAACTGCCAAGTTGGGGAGCTAACTTCAACACAGAAGTGACATCAGGACTAATGTCCAGAAAAGAAAGGTCTTTTCCCATCAACCATCTAGAATTTGAAGTAGTAATCTCACTTGGCTCAACAGCTCTGAAACATGTTCCTGATGATCTGCACAGTCAATGCATTTGTAGCTTTTACATCAACCTATAAGGTAAAACAAGCCATTGCCAATAAAATAGAAGTTATTGCAAAACAAGCCATTGCCACCAGAATGGATGTTACATACAGAAGCATTTCAACTGGCAGTTCAGGAGCAAGGATGTCCTGTTTGCAATGAGATTCAACAAACAGACAGCAAACTCCAATTCTCAACCTTATGGCATAGACAAGTGCACCCTCCACCAGTGGTCTTCCAAGTGTCTGACCAAACATTGAGCAAACAAAGAACCTGAAACCTGACTTTGGTAGTGCCTTACTGGCCATCAAGAACATGGTTTCCAAGTCTGATGGCAACAGCAGCAAAAACCTAGGTCTAAAGGTAGCAAACTGTTCAAATCTTCTTCTTCATCCTCACTCACACAAGGCCAGGGCTCTTTGAAAATCACATATGGAACACATCAAGAACTGTCTTTTCAGAAGAGGATATTCATGTAGAGCAGCCAAGGCTGCCTCTTAAGCACTCAGAAGGAGGTATACTATTTCCTGAACTTCTAGAGGGGAAATGCTTCAGAAGATCTACTAGAAGTCTCTATGATGATAAATGGAAGAATTTTGACCAGTGTTCAAGATTGAAGAGGCTCACAGCAACAAAGGCTACACATCCTCACAGGATAACTATAGAATAATATTTTCACTCACTAATATCTGAGCAGTATTAAACATAAAAGGTAGATTGTAACATATCATATTGTATACCCTGTATAAACCAAAAGGACTTTCCAATTCATGTATTTGTAAAAATACAGAATTATGAAAAGAACCAAGAGTTCATTTGAAGAAAATGTCACTTTATGCTTTTTCCAGCTTTGGACTCTTGGTGCTTGAATAAAGTACCACTGTACCAAACTTGTGAATAAAACATGATGGGACATCCCAATTGCTAGCATTTGTAAATGCAGGAGGATTGGTGTGTTTAGCATGATAATGAGATTCTCTATACTTGAAGAAGAATACCATAAAGGAAGTTATTTGAACAATTCTGTCTTTCAGGGGTGTACAGAGTGGTGAGATCGATAAAAAGAAAGGCGAGGAGAGAATGGGATGGTGTTATAATGGACTTGGTCTTGTGTACTATAACCAGAAACAGTATGTTGAGGTAATGGAGTGTTGTTGGTTCTGTGTTTCTTGACAAATAAAAATATCACAGTTTAATTCTTTTGATTTTATTGTTTTCTTCAAGTACTGATTTAATTGAATTGAGCAACCTATAAATCATGAAATCAGGGATCTGGACACATGTCACTGTGAGCTTGTACTCAGACTCAGTCATCCTGCCTGGAGATGATTCTGTTATATTCAGGTTTCCTGTGTGTCAAATGTGATGCCAGCTTCTTCTGTTATATTGAATGTGCCTGTGAGAATATATACCAGTGCCAACCTCAGTATGGTCACTGCAGTGTTTCTCTATGTGTCAGTTGTTTTACAGGGAGAAATGATGTTCAGAGACTCTATTGCCATTCATGAGAAACACAAGAATATTCGTTGGGCTGCTGATGCCTGGACAAATATTGGTCTTATCAGCCTTGGTATGAAGAAACCAAAAGAGGCAATAAAGCATTTAGAGAAGTCTTTAAAGGTAATTATATTAAACAGTAATTATTTCATATTTTCAATAGATATTAACCCTATGAAAACTAAAAACTACCATGTAACAATGATACATATTAATTTCAACATCTTGGACTTAAGTTCCTTAAGAGTTTGCTTTGAACAGACAGCCTTGTGGTCTGTAGTCAGAGCATCTACCACAGAGTATAGTGAGTGAGTGAGTTTAGTTTTATGCCACGCTCAGCAATATCCAGAGAGTATAGGTTTGTGGTTTAATCTGCCTGTCTTGCCTCAGCATACAGGGAATACCGTGGCATAGTATACCTGTGCTGGTGATGTGTCTTGTTGAGTATAGCTTTACAGACGGGTATGTAAGTTAGCATACATTTTGCAGGTATATACAGCGTTTTCACCTTATGAAAAATCAATCATTGAATTTGTCCAAAGCACAATAAGTGTCCTGCCATGGAAAACCCACCCGATTGATTGCATTTCTCTCCTATGAGAATTCCAGGAAATAGTATACCTCCAGCACCAGAGACATGTCACCCTATAGAATTTCAGGAAATAGTATACCTCAAGGACTAGAGGCATGTCACCTTCTAGAATTCCAGGAAATAGTATACTCCAGCCCAAGAATCATGTCTCCCTCTAGAATTCCAGGAAATAGTATACCTCAAGCACCAGGGGCATGTCACCTTCTAGAATTACTGGAAATAGTATACCAGCACCAGAAGCATGTCACCCAATAGAATCCCAGGAAATAGTATACCTCCAGCAGCAAGAGCATGTCTCCCTCTAGAACTCCAGCATGAGAATATGTCCTCACCATCCCACATTTGCCATGCCCTATGGTAATGTTGAGGTAGTATATGCCCCAAGCACTGGAAGCTTTTCTCCCCTGTAGGAATTCAGGTAAGGATTATCGGTACCATCCCATGTTTGTGACTGTTTGTCATTGTACCCTGATGGTGTCTGATGTTCATAATATCAACCACTGGACATGTTTGTCTAGCCCTGATTGTGAACTTGGTGTCCTGGCTGGATTACTGCTAGAAGCAGAGTGAAACAACAAGCTGAATTCACCTCAGTGTTCAACATTTCCTGGAGGTTGTTTGTTGTTCTACACCAAAACCAACATTATTTAACCCTACTGATAGCAGACTGTAAATAATCAAATATGGACCGGACAACAATTGATGGATATGAATAATGACTAACACCATCAGGAAACAATGACATAGAATCAACCACCATGTCACCAAGCCTGACCTAATCTTCCATTATGTACCTAGTTATGACCAACATGGTGACCCTGTATCCCCTCATGACGTACCTGGAGTAACAATAATAACTGTTTTATTTTCAGCTGTATGAAGAGCACTTTTTTGACACCATACCTCATAGCATTGGGAACGTGTACACCAACCTGGCCCTGGCATACAGACGGGATAACAAGTTGGATAAGGCAGAGGAATTCTACCAAAAGTAAGTCATTGATTGTCTTTTAGATGCTGGAAGGTCAGGAAGATGTGAAACTCTTTGTGCAAGGCAACTTTTATATTTGTTGTAAGAAATCTTTTCCCCTTCATCAGGTGAATAACATTTCAAAGTGTAATGAAATTTCAAGAACCAAAAGTAAGTTTAAATGTCAACAATATCAATAATTTTACCTTATCCTGACTCATACTACATGTAATTGCTTTTCTAGTAGAAATGGAAGTGTCTAAAGTCCCATGCGCGAAGCGATCCACCTTCACAAAGCCCTCACCAGTCCCCTTTGTGGGTCAGAAAAAGATGTCATCTGCCAGAAAATCACTGCTATGTCACAGATTGATTACGCAATGCCATTTAGAAAGTGGTCAAATGTAACATATACTATATTTGGGATTAAGCTTTCCTAGTAAAGTACACAGTCTCGTACTTTTGTTGGGTTGAGTCCCATCTGGGACACACACCCACGCACACACGCGGCCGCTGCCGACGCACGCACACACACACACACACACACCATGTCTCAGCGTGCATCTACAGCTCCAAACCCTCGCAGCACCTTCCTACTACAGGAGGAAGAGGTTTATGAACCTTCTGCAGCTGAGGTGAGTTCACAGAATCAAGGACCAATGTCAGTCTATGATGATCAAGGGCTACTTACATGGATGAAGGACACACAACTCAACAGTAGCCATTTACAGTAATCTACTAGGCACAACTAATTCTGATACTGTATTGAAGTTAATGTTTCAATGATATCACCCCACAGACAGTCTAAACCTAATAATACAGGTAAGGCACAATCCAGGAGCCACAAACATATTAGCAGACACTCTGTCCAGGCTGTGCAAGCCATCACCGACGGAATAGAAACTTCATTCAGAAGCATTCCAGCTGTTGATAAAACAACAAGGTTGCCCATCAGTAGACCTGTTCAACAATCGGAAAAGCACCTCTGTCTCTCCAGTACTAGACATGTTATCATTGACAAACTAAGTTCCGGCAATATCCTGGGAAGTCACCAGTAATAATACCAAGATCAGTTAGACCAGTCACCTGTTACTGCTTTTGGTGGCCCCTCATTGGCTGGCAAAGACATGGTTTTCAAACTTCATAGAGCTTGCAGGCAACCCAGTTCTAAAACTTCCAGATTGGTCAGATATTCTCATATACCCTTACACAAAGCAGAAGCACCGGGGTCTAGAGCAGCAGCAGCATTCTCACTAGCTCTACACATCCACCAGACATTTGTATGACAACAATGAAAGAGTTTTGACCAATTTGTGAGAAGTAAGGGGTTTCCAGCAGACAAAGCTACACCACCTCAGGTGGCAAAGTTTCTCTGTCACCTAAGAACCATGAAGAATCTCAAGGGTTCAATGCAGGGCACTTACTTAGCAGCTATAAGCTCTGTTATCACCATGGCAAAGGGCACAAAATCACCAAAGTACCTGCACTGATAGCATTATTATACTCGTTCAGACTAGAAGAAGTTTAAAGCTTGGGACATGAATATTGTCCTTAAGCATCTAACCAGCGAAGCTTATGAACCTCTTGAAGAAACCAGATTTGAACATCTGTTTCCTATTGGCCCCAGCTACGGCTACCAGAATGTCAGAGATCCATACTATAGATTTTGGTTTCACCAGATTTGATAACAGACCCAATTCATCAGTATGCCTTGGTCTCCATTTGGGATCTTATTGCTAAAAATCAACTGCTAGGTCAGCCAGACCGTCAGTTTCACATCCCACCATTATCTTCAATACTTGGCAACAAAGATAAGGAAGATTTATCACTGTGTCTGGTCAGAGCCTTACTCATCTATCTACTTAAATGAGCTCTTAACACCAGAAATTTAAACATCTGTTTATCCCGCTCACAAAAGATGCTGCAACAGAAGTCTCCAGAACAACTATATCCTTCTGGATGAGAGTGGTCATATTTCAAGCATTCAGAGCAGCAGGCATAGACCCTCCTTCAGCTTCCAACCCACATGCAGTAAGAGCATTAGCCTCCATACTTGCACAACATGGCAATTGCTCCATCTCTACCATCATGGAAGGATGTTTTTGGAACTCTGACACAGTTTTTGCCAATCCTTATCTCCAAGACCTTGCTACTGAGGATGTGGGGAGTATATGTCAATTTGATCATAAACACCGACGGAGATTCCATGTACCCATTTTCAAAAAAAAAGTTAGAACATGTGTGATGAATGATTGTCTAACATTATGGATTATTCTCTTAACATATAAATAATTTGGAATCAAGTCTAAGCATGTTTACCTGAATCCACAGAATCACAAGATTCACTCCTTCTCTCATGAGTTTGGAGGTATTGCCCAAGTGGAAGAAGCAATGTCCAGAAGTACCATATATTACTGTAGATAAGCCGAATTTTGACGACCAAAAAAAGCAGTCTGTAGAAAGGGGTCAGCTTATCTACGAGTTACACTTTCGTCAAACTTTTTTCCATGGGGTAAGAAAATGACATTGTATCACTTCGCGTGAACAAACAAACAAGAGAAGATGACTTTGTCAGTAAAGACGTCAAATTTGCAATTAAACATCACTAGACATGATTATTTATATTTTAAGTTCTAATTTGTTTTTGTTGGGCATTGTATTATTTGCAGGGATCGAGATTACCGTGTGTATTTGTCTCATATATACAGCCGGGAATAGCTATCAGCTGTGCACACGTTCCCTGGCGATCAACCGGTGATTTAGTTAAAACATACACAATAATATAAGAGCATGTTTCTGTGAAGAAATGGTTGGATTGAATAAGGATTCATAGTGTCATTGTGATATATGACTTACCTCTTTTAGAGTTCAGGAATGGTCATGAAGTGCAGCCAAAATAAGTTTTCTGTCTCCAGAAACTATTCAAATTTTCAACAACTGTGAGGGCTGCAATATGCTAAACTCACTGTATGATATATGTTGCTTGAATATTACTTCGTTGTGATGTGATCAGTGAAGATCAAGCAGGGCAGATTCATGACTGTTTTATTGTTGGTCCTCAGTCATGATGAAAAGATTGTGACATGTCAAAAATCTGCATTAAAATATGGAAATATGTTACAGGTCACTTGATCTGAAGATTCAAGCAGTTGGCAGTGAACACCCTATAATTGCAACTGCGTACATGAACCTAGGCACTCTGTATTTATACAGGAAGAATTATGCCGTGGTTCAGGAGTATACCGAGAAAGCTCTTCACATATACAAGGTGAGATTGTCCAGATTATACCTCAGGGTTAAAAAGACTGGGTGACAAAAGTTGTTTTGCGGTTAAAATAACAATACACCTGAAAAAAAGTTCAGCACATCTAAATACTCAGTATGTTGACCACTAGCAGAACTATGTTTAAATTCAGTTTGTGTATGATGGCAAGTTTTTCATGCCTAAAATTAGGGGACTGGGAAAGGGGGTTGCCTTATATGTGGGGTAGAAGATCTTACATTTTTTTCTTACTGTCAACCAGTGTCCGCTACCCACTGATGTTGTTTGACTGTAAAACTTCACATTTCCAAGAACTAATTTGGTATGTAAGCTTCCAATGTATGTGGATTCCTTTTTCATACTATACATATTCTGGAAATGAATTTTAATGAGCCTCCATTGAACTGTTGGAAGTTTATGTTTATGGTTCATGTTGCTTGAAATTTGCTTGCATTCAACAATTGTTTCATGTAAGCGTTCCATTGCAAACCTTTTTCAATGTTTATGCATGTTAAATGTGTATTGCATTTGCATACGTTCTTTCAATTTTGTTATGGCTGTAACCATTGATTGTTAGCATAATGCTAACAGTTGGTTGTTTGCTTTTTCTATTACATGCATGCTGATGATGTGCTTCATTCAGGGTTGGGGGTGGTGGGGTTAAAGTGTTTGTTTGTCATGCTGAAGACCTGGGTTTGATTCACTATGTGGGTACAAGAGCCCATTTCTTGTGTCCCTGCTGTGATATTGCTAGAATATTGCTAAAAGTGGTGGAAAACCATATTCACTCACTAATTCATTCACTCATTCAGGGTTGCGTTATAGATGGGATATATAAATTGGCATTTGATTTTGAAGGCTTGTAGAGGGGGTTGTCTTATATGTGGGGTCGCACTATATGTGGCGATATACAGTACGAATGATAATAGTGTTCAGTTAAGAAATTATTGCAAGTGTACTTGGCGGAAAGAATCTCCCCAACACACCCTGTGGAAGATGTACAGAAGCAAACCTATGAATTTTCACAAGTGCAGTTTGTAAATGTGCCACATTCAGTATTTAATCTGCATGGGGTACAATGTTCAATCATTTTTTCAACCACTATGGTTTGAAGAAGATTATCAGATGGCCAGAGATTGGTATGAATAACACTGGGAGGTTCTTTAAAATGATTGGGCGTGAAATGAATGTCGACTATACAGTTGTCAGTCGTTTGGTAAGAAACGTCTCTCTCGACAACAACCATTTGCCACTAGCACTGTTCTGAAGCACCACTGGTTACCATTGTTAGGTTGTAGTTTGGAAAGTAGTATATTGCTAGTCTCACGAAATCTCATAGGCGAGATTTATGTCCAACATGGCGATCTCCATAGAAATGCAGAGGTAAGATAATTGTGCTGTATTTGTGACGTAACAACAATTATTACATTTTGTTATGATGTGTGCATCGTTAGGTATCTAAGTAGTTGCTAGGAGTTCAGCTAGTGGATGTTGCAGCTGTGTGCGCACGTATTTTGGAAGTTGTAAGCCTGTACAGAATAAATAGCCACAATTCTTCAATATGAAGTAGTTCTTCCTTCGCGGATCTAACATTGGTGGCAGTGGTGGGATGGCAGAAGGGGAAGGAACTAGATATTTATGGCCTATGGCTTTGCCTGAGAAGTTTTCTGGTCGTGAAAACTGGGAAGAATACATAGCTCTGATGAAAATCAAGTCCTTCTTCATGTAACTCCTTGACACTTGAGAGTTTGGAGGCAGCATTTGCAGCAAAAAAACATTCAACCAACTGTTGCATTTGGTGGAGGTTCAGTCACGAGGATTTGACGCGTAATCAGTATATGCAGGAAGTGACTCATTTTGATAATCAGCCTCTTGGTTGAAGAACGGTATTTATCGATGACATAGCTAGGCCACACTGTTCTCGTGCAGTGACAGCTTTAACTCAGAATAGTGCATTGAGTCCATGAGTCCTGGAGCACATTTAGGACTTTATTGGGTGACGGATACAAGCTTGTGTGCCACCTTTTAAAAATCTGAACGTGTTTGATGCAGCTTTGCACCACATTTGGCTACAGTTTCCTCTGCAACAGATACGACAACTGACAGGGGATATGCGACAATGGGTACAGGCAGTTATCCAAGAACATTGCGGTTACACTAAATATTGATTGTACAATGTTCCCAGGTTACAAATAAAAGTTTCCGTCTGATAACAAACATGCCATGTTGCCTGATCATCTCTCTAGCTCCATACTTGTAACAGGTATCACTTTGAGCCAAATTCTTCATGACACTATATACATATATATGTGTGTGTGTGTGTGTGTGTGTGTGTGTGTGTGTGTGTGTGTGCGTGCATGCATGCATGTGCTTGTGTGTGTGTGTGTGTGTGTGTGTGTGTGTGTGTGTGTGTGTGTGTGTGCGCGCGCGCGCGCGTGTGTGTGTGTGTGCGTGTGTGTGTGTGGTGAGACCTCGGATATCCACACACATTTGTTTTTACGTAAATTGTCCACATAATTGAATATCCAGATATCTGGATTTGTGGCATACACCTCAAGGATAATCCAAAATGTTTATGATCATCAAGCCTTTATTCTACATGTATAGACATTAAAAAACAGCATCACAACATAACTATCATACATTTTCAATTATTCAGTTTTGAAAAAGTCTTTCATTGAGGACTGCTTACACTGGGTGCCGCTGCTTTGTAACACGATGGACAACATTTTGACTTGAATATCAACACACTGCACTTTTATTGCTTTGACTGAATACACAACTTAACAGTTAAAACTCAATGGTTAACTCAGTGTCATCTAGGCCTACTAATCACCACCAATATGTTGCTGACCAATCATTAATCCGTATTTGTCTCATGTCAACACATGTGAGACTCTCGCGCTTCCCTTCACATGGTCAGCGGTAGATCAAAGCTTCGTGCAGATACATGAGTCAATTTTGTGTTGATTTAGCCGGTTGGTTTGTAAAATATACCGTCTGAAACGGAAACCGAATGCCCGTTATAGACAGTCACTTTTATAATGTAAGAGATTGTTTTTTCTAAAAAATTGACCGGAAGGTGAGGTTTCCGGATATCTGGGGTCTGGGTATGCGAGGTCTCATTGTGTGTGCGTGCGTGCCTGTGCGTGTTACACTTCAGTTAGCAGTTAACCCAAGCAGAGGCATGGGTTTCATTCGTCATATAGTTACAGTGTGTGAAGCCTATTCTTGTGGGTCTTGTCTTTGTATTTCTGGAATATTTGCTAAAAGTGACATAAAATGTACTCATTGCTTCCTTCAAAGTGGTATTGATTCCAACTCACTTGTCATTTAGATCAACCAGTATCATGAAGATCATCGGTCAAGCTGGTTTTGTAAGGAAAATATGGCAAATTGCCTGCTGAAACAGAACAAGATCAAAGAAGCTGAACCGTACTTCTGGGATGTCTGTAAGTTGATTGGGGATTGCTGTCAGGAATGATAATGCTTCATTGTCCCCCGATAATGTATTATTGTCTTTCCGTACGTCCGTCCATGTGTATTCATCTTTCCGGAGCAGAACATAAAAGCTGTTGAATATTTCTTCACCAAACTTTGCATATAGATAGATGTGATGGTGAACTGGTGCCTTTTGGTACTTTAGGATTTCTGATTAAATTATTTTTTTTGCTTTTCCATGGCAACAAGTTTGATTTCAATTGAAATTGCTGGTCATGCGCTTTTCCGGTGCAGAACTTTAAAACCTTTTAATGTTTCTTCACCAAACTTGGCACATACATAGGTCTGATGGTGAATTAATAATAATGTTTCCATTTATATAGCGCCAAAGTCCACATAAGGTATGCTCATAGCGCTAACAATCAAGGCACAGCACATTATTACCCCTGTTAGGCGCTAGAAGGTTATAGTCATATGACTTTATTCCACCGGGTACCCATTTTCTTGCTGGGTGAACAGAGACAATTTTGAACAAACTCACTTGCCTAAGGTGAGACCACATGTGTCACATGTGCTTCGTTGTGGGGCAGGACTCAAGTCCTAGAAACTCTCAGGAGTCAAGCTGCCAAACACGGTCACCCAACCAAGGACTTTCCGAGCTCGACGCTGCTTAACTTCACCGATTTGTGACCTGAGCTTTTTGAGCACAGGACCACGTGCCACCACAATTGGTGACTTTTGTTACTTTTGGATTTCTGAATAAAATAATTTGTGCGTTTCCATGGCAACAAGCTTGACTTCGACTGAAATTGGTGGTAGTGCTCTTTTCTGGGGCAGAACTTTAAAACATTTCAATACTCTAATTCCACTTTGTCGGTATTCAAGAACCTAATGACATAAATCAACAGTGCCACTCTATTTCTGTAGCAGCATTATTGAGGTACATCAAACCGTGGAAGCACCCAGGCAGTGTATTGTTGATACAAGCATGCTAGTATATGAGTAGTTTACATATGTCAGTTTCCATTAGATCAATGTGAAAAACAATGTAACATTTGACATAGTCATAACTAGTTGACATATTCATGAAGAGTACTTTACTATTGCTGGGGATATTGATGGCTTTGTCTTCCTGTCTCTTTAGTACTCACTTTCACTGGTGCTCAGAACATGTGACTACAGAAGTAGTAGACTTCCAGAACCCTAAGACAGAGACTGAAAGAATGATCTTATCAGCCAACACTCGACACACAAAAGAAGGACCAGGAATTTATGTCCGACCATCTTGCTTCTTCAGTGGCAGGCTTGACCTTACTCCATGAAGCGTTTCAATCTAGACTATCTACTAAAACCGGACAAGTTCAAGATTCTGCACTTACCACAACTGCAACATCTAATCAGACCCAACAACTACCTAGCTATCAGAGATCTACAAGACGCCTACCTGCACATCCCTATAAATCCGGCCTTGAGGAAGTATGTGCGATTCCTGTATCAAGGGCAGCAATACCAGTGGAGGGTCCTCCCCTTTGGAATTTCCTCAGCACCGTACATCAAAGGGGATTTTGCCATGCTTTCTACCTAGACGACAGCATACATGCGCATCAACTAGCACATCAACGTCAACTGCAGTCTACAATCCAGTCTACAAACGCAGCTGGGCTGGAACTGCAGTTCCTAGGCATCAAGTTCCTCACCACAAAGAACCGCATTGTGCTTCCAGAAGACTGCTGGTCAAGCATGCAAGCATGTCTTCCAGCAGCTCTCAACTCACCTCTAGATGGCAAAGACTATTCCGTCTCCTCTCATCAGCACAGGCTCTCACATGCAGAGGAAGGTTGCAGTTATGACTACTTCAACGCTTCCTAAGTCCTCGTCTTGACAGTCTGCAGAAAATATCCATCCCTCAGCACCTGAAGTCATATCAAAGAGGTCACATCTGGAACTTGGTCACTGGAAGAAAGGACCTTACACATAAATCAACTGGAATTCAAGGCGGGGGCGGTTATTGAGGCAGTTCTACACCAGACGCACCTACTGAGGAAACAAGTCCTTATGATTCACTCGGACAACTCAACAGTAGCCTTCAACATTAATCTTCAAAGCTCAACAAGATCAGCGCCTCTACTGCAACTCTTCAACCTAGCAGACAGCCTCAACTTATGGATCAAGGCTTGTCACTTTCCAGGAGCAAAGAACGTTGTAGCTGACGCCTTATCCAGACCCATCAGACCATCACCAACAGAATGGATGTTTCAGCTGGAAGCTAACAGTATGTCAAGGTTGTCCTCTGATAGGTCTGTTTGCGTCTCACTAGTACCAGATCGACAAGCATGGGCTATCAACGCTCTAGCCATATCTTGGGAGGGATGCGTACACATTTCGACCACCGATCCTTTTACCTTAAGTTCTACACAAGATCACCCAGACCAAAATCCTACGACTGATTTTTGTCGCACCCTTCTGGCCAGTGAGAACTTGGTTTCCAGACCTCCTACAGCTCTTAGGAAAACCAATGCTATGTCTACCAAATTGGCCGAATCTACTGATCCACCCTCACACAAAACAACCTCACAGCAACTCAATAGGACTCCGGCTACACGCATGGAACATATTATGCACTGCCTGAGATGAAGAGGGTACGCCACCAGAGCAGCCAAGGCAGTTACACTGGCCTTAAGACAATCAACTTGGAACTTCTACTATGATAAGTGGAAGAGTTTCAACCAGTTTGCTGCACGTAAGGGAGTTTCGGCTGTGAAAACTACACGTCCTCAGGTAGCATAATACTTATGTCATCTGAGAGCTACTAGACACCTGAAGGGATCTATACTCTCAACATAATTGGCTGCGATCAGCTCCATTATCACCATGGATACGGGAGTCAAGCTCACCAAAGTACCTGAACTCGTTGCTCTATTGAGTTCATTTAAACTAGAAGACCAGCAGCAGAAGTTTAGAGCTCCAGCATGGGACCTCAACATAGTGCTGCAATATCTTACCAGCGATGACTATAAGCCACCAAGAGACACAACTTTTGAGTTTTTAACTCAGAAGACATAATTCCTCCTAGCCTTAGCTACAGTTGCTAGGATGTCAGAAATACACACCTTCAACTACAGATGAACCAGGTTTGACTCCGGAGAGCATGCTGCAGTCCACCTGGGTCTCAGATGGGACTTTATAGCGAAGAATCAGCTACCTAGTCAACCAGATTGACAATTCTACGTAATGGCATTGTCTACAGTCCTTGGACCACACGATAAAGAAGATCTGTCCCTGTGCCTAGTCAGAGCTTTAAAAATGTACTTAGAACAGGCTGCTACAAGAAGGAGGAAATTCAAGTCTCTTTATCCTGCTATCACCTACCACGACTATTGAAGTCTCTCATACTACTATCTCGTTTTGGATCAGAGCTGTCATCCTACGAGCTTACAAAGCAGTTGGGCTGGATCCTCCCAGAGCCTCCAACCAAAACGAAATTAGAGCATTAGCCTTGACACTTGCACTACATGGGAACTACTCTTTATCGTCCATTATGGAAGGCTGCTTTTGGTTCGCCAACCACTATCTTCGCGACATTGCTACAGAAGATGTATCCGGTATCCACCTGTTCGGCCCTGTTGTAGTAGCACAACAACTCACAGTTCCAGCCAGAGGATGAGAAACTCACCCTTATCACGTTGGCTTGACCCCAGGCAACTGTCCCATTGCCACAGGTAGAGAGTCCATGTTCCCCTGTCTTACTAGATAAGTCAGAGCATGAGTGATTTAGACTCAGTTTCAGTAATAGTCCTTACCTTAACATATGGGTCACGATACAGTTTCAGTAATAGTCCTTACCTTCACATATGGATTATTCTAGACATCGAGGTGTACTAGATTATCTAAAATCCACGAAATCTATAAGATTTACTTCTTTTACTGACTTAAGAGAAGGTGGTCCCCCCATTGACATCGGGATCTTTTAGAAGCCACAAAGAAGAGTTCCCAGGGGGTATATGATCAGATGATATTGATCAACCGCTCAGTGAATCCCGTTAGGTGGCTGACCCACCACCTATTCCGTCGGATTCGGTAAGCAATATAGCATGAGTCAGGATAATGAAAAATATTATTATACTTATCCTGACTCATGATCTGAAGGGCCCTCCCAACCGTCCCCTCTGAGCACTACGGGCTTCACTGCAGTCCCTAGTGCGGGCTTATTCAGGCGAGAGTGATGGGAGCATGGCTCAAGTCACATGGGATGCTTTTGGCAGGAAAAGGGAGGCAACTCATGGGTGAGTGATTTTATGTTCCCTTCAGGGAACTTGGGATTCAAGTTTCCATGTAACCGTCGAAAGGAGAATGGAGATAAGCAATATATAGTATGAGTCAGTATAAAATATCAGTTTTATCATAAAACTTACATACTTGAATCAAACTTTTAAAGGTCCATCACCTTGTGTTGTCTTATCTCCTAGTGTTTTTCCAAAGCGCTATCCACTGGCGTTATCTCCCACATTCTGTGGCACACATGATCACTTGTGTTTATTTGTTCTCAACATTGCTAACATTTTCTACAATACATTTTAGCTGGGAAATGCTGGGAGTGTGTGTCCAAACGCCATGCTCCTTTGTTTCCACATGTGATAATTGTCCATCTCTATTGCCTGCAGTGTTTTAGAAATATGCCCTGATAGCTAAGAAGAGGCAGGAGAAGAAACACTCCTATTCAACAGACTTTTATTTTAGTCAGCTACATCTGGATTACAAAGCATTGTTCTCATAGCAAGTTGATTGTCGAGACTTTTATTTTAGTCCAGTAATGGATCATACCAGCCAAGGCACTGAGAGTCTGGATTATAAAGCAAGCTTCAATTATAAATTGAGATCAATTTTGCTGGGTCTCAGAGGGTAGTCCAGATTATGAAGAAAACAACTGTTTACAAAGTGTCTGGAGTACAAAGAGTACAGATTCCACTGTACTTCAATTTTGCCATCTTTACTCAGCAACTCACATTCACATACAAATTATTGTTACATCCACCAAACTAGATCTTATTCCATAATGAGATGTTTCTTTATGCCTGGGGTGTGATCAAGATTTGTTGATTGTAGATTAAAATTCAGTGATGTTTAAAGTCCCAGGACATCAATGGTGCTTAATATCTTTAGATCATTTTTCAATTCTCAAACCAAAGCAACCAAGCTCTGACTAGCAAAGCCAGCATCCCAAGCACTGTGCAGAAAATACTGGCTTTGGCAATGTTTACACTTTTAGCAAATTTAAGAGAATCCTTTTGTGTGTTTTTTTAGTTAAATACCAATTGCTAAATGTATTCAAACCCAGATTTCAATATAAATGTCTGGTTTGAATGAGCCCGGTAATGTTGCAGGAACAAATGGCATCCCTGAATAAGAGCACTTTCTGACCTGCTATTGAGTGTATGGCAACTTTCCTTTCAGAATATGATAACAGCACAGTCATTGTCCTTTAATATCTGAGCAGTATATCTTGCTTTGTTTTTCCAGTTGATATCCAAACAAGGCTTGGCTTCCTGGCTGACTGTTTACCATACGTTCACCACACAATATCTGAACACTACATCGATAGCGGGGAGTATGACAAGGCTGACCGTATCCTCACAGCTCTATCCATGTGTAAGGAAAAGAGGAGAGCTAAAACATTTCTCTTGCTAGACAAACTTGATCAGCAGCAACCAAGGTCAGATGTTAACCCCCGTCCAAGGGAGCAAACTCTGGAATATGGAATGGAATTGTGAGTTTTATGAATGGTTGTGTTGATATGTGAACATCCTCCGGGACAGTACAGATATTTGGTGTAAGTTCCAAGCATTACTGGGGCGGTGGGGTAGCCTAGTGGTTCAAGCGTTGGCTCGTCACGCTGAAGACCCGGGTTTGAATCCCCACATGGGTGCAATGTGTGAAGCCCATTTCTGGTGTCCCCCGCCGTGATGTTGCTGGAATATTGCTAAAAGCGGCGTAAAACCAAACTCAGTCAGTCAGTCCAAGCATTACTGTAAATGGAGAAACTAGCAGTCATAGGGTTAATGGACCAGTGGGTGTTTAAGGTTGGAAGTATTCTTGGTCAAGTATTCTTGAGAGATCAAGACTGGCATTATCTAATCTGTTCTGGAGGTTTGCCTCTGTAAAGTTTGTGAGAGGTATTCAGGACCAGTCAGAGGATAGCAGGTGACTGAGAGAATATTGAAAAAAAAGATATTTTCTCACATATGTGCAGCCCAAATCAGCAAGATATATTTGAGATAATACATATGTCCTTTAAATGCCCTTCACATATCTTCCATGTCTTATATATCCATTGATCTATGCTATCCCGTTTCATACACCGATATTCTTCACATTTATCATTCACCTATCCCGTTTCACGTATCCTCCACATAAACTGACAGGCGCAAAAGAAACTATACCAAAACAAATTTGTCTCTGGCAAAAGATAACAAGAAGAAATGTCAATAGATATGTAATTCATTGTTCAAGCATTCATTTATCAATGGATATTCATAAAATTTACATAATGTTTTTGGACAGGAGAATTGTACAGAACTTTAGACAGGGAAAGTGTGAAATCTGAATTTGCAGTTTAGGACAGCACTCATCACATCTTGATGAAATGACTTGAAGATTTGTCAGATGAGTCATCATCCTACACAATTCAGTGTCAGTAATGGTAACACGATGTTCCACAGAGTTATTCAATCACCGAATAACGTTGTTTGGAATAGACTGCCATTCCTGTATGAGTACGTTCACCAAAGCTTGTCGATTGGCAGGAGTTATATTACATGCACAAATTTGCCGGTCTGGGTGGTCCCACAAGTGTTCAATGGGTGAGAGGTCTGGGGATCGAACTGGCCATGGCAGAACAGTAACATTATTCAGGTAAAGAAAGTTTTGAACAATCCAGCAGTATGGGATCTGGCGTTATATTACTGGAACATGATATATCTATGTTGCTGTAGGAACGGGAATGGGAGACTTGTTATTGTTTTCAATGGATTCAGCACCTTGAGCATGTACTAGTTACGTGGATATGTGCACTATATAGATATCCTATAATAATAATTATTATTGTTGTTCAAGTGTAACCGAAGATCCTTGCCACATGATGATGCCTGGCTCCAACTCCAAGCTGGAGCATGCCAATCGCCCTCTCGCAGTAGTACTGTTCTGCTGTTAATTTCGGCATGTCACTTGATGTAATCGTCATCCTGATGGTATTTGTGACACTGACTGCAGGTTTTTTATACCCATTAGCACCATGATCTTGTGATGCATGTGCATTACACTTTTTATCATTAAAACAGATTTTTGCGGTAATCAATGCATTTTCATCTCGCTTGGGATCAGAATGTTGTGTGTAATTTCGAAAAAACACATTTGGTGTAAAAAATTCAAAACATTAGAATTTTGGAATAGTTTCTTTTCCCATCAGTTGATATTACTCACCTATCCCCTATTTCCCATATTCTCCAAATATATCATCCACCTACTCATTTCACATTTCCTCCACGTGTCACTCACCTATCCTGTATGAGTTTCACATAGCCTCCACATATATCACTCACCTATCCTGTATGAGCTTCACATAGCCTCCACATATATCACTCACCTATCCTGTATGAGCCTTCACATAGCCTCCATATCACTCCATCCTGTATAGCTTCACATATCTTCCACATATATCACTCACCTATCCTGTATGAGCTTCACATAGACTCCACATATATCACTCACCTATCCTGTATGAGCTTCACATAGCCTCCACATATATCACTCACCTATCCTGTATGAGCTTCACATATCTTCCACATATATCACTCACCTATCCTGTATGAGCTTCACATATCTTCCACATATATCACTCACCTATCCTGTATGAGCTTCACATATCTTCCACATATATCACTCACCTATCCTGTATGAGCTTCACATATCTTCCACATATATCACTCACCTATCCTGTATGAGCTTCACATATAGCCTCACATATATCACCACCTATCCTGTATGAGCTTCACATATCTTCCACATATATCACTCACCTATCCTGTATGAGCTTCACATATCTTCCACATATATCACTCACCTATATCCTGTATCTGAGCTTCTCACATAGCTTCCACATATATCACTCTCACCTATCCTGTATGAGCTTCACATATCTTCCACATATATCACTCACATCCTGTATGAGCTTCACATATCTTCCACATATATCACTCACCATCCTGTATGAGCTTCACATGTTCCCATATATCACACCTATCCTGTATGAGCTTCACATCTTCACATATATCACTCACCTATCCTGTATGAGCTTCACATATCTTCCATATATCACTCACCTATCCTGTATGAGCTTCACATATTGTCCACATATATCACTCACCTATCCTGTATGAGCTTCACATATTGTCCACATATATCACTCACCTATCCTGTATGAGCTTCACATATCTTCACATATATCACTCACCTATGCTGTATGAGCTTCACATATGTTCCACATATATCACTCACCTATCCTGTATGAGCTTCACATATATCACTCACCTATCCTGTATGAGCTTCACATATCTTCCACATATATCACTCACCTATCCTGTATGAGCTTCACATATTTCCACATATATCACTCACCTATCCTGTATGAGCTTCACATAACCTCCACATATATCACTCACCTATCCTGTATGAGCTTCACATAGCTTCCACATATATCACTCACCTATCCTGTATGAGCTTCACATAACCTCCACATATATCACTCACCTATCCTGTATGAGCTTCACATATCTTCACATATATCACTCACTTGTCCTCTATGTGCTGATGATGTGTATGCAGGTTCCCTGACAATGATAGCCTGTTTGAGCACAAAGTGAGGGTGCACCATGTTGCCCGGGGGGATCTGACTGGGCTGGAGGAATTGCTCACTGCTAGGGATGCTGATGCAGACACATACGATGATGTTGTGTACTGGTGTGTGGAGGATGACAAGCCTGGCATTGCTGGAGAGGTTATAGACAGAGCTCTCCAGAAGTTCCCAGGCAACCAGGTAAACCACAGCTGGTCATTGTCACTTGGCAGTGGCTATGTTCAGACAGAAAACAGGTCTTAAACAATAAATTTAGCATAGAGTAGGTTAAGAAGAAAGTGGAGAGGACAAGGATGGTGCCACAATTCTCTGTGCACAGTTGAGTCCCTTTAGCATGTCATTACCCTATAACAGTTTCAATTCTGGATTCAGTCTGATTATTATCGGGACAGATTAATCTAATTAATGTTTCTCATTATGAATCTAAGCTGTGCTACACTAAATAACCTAATCTAGTTCAAGTTAAAGTGTAAATATCATTATTATCAAACAGTTATCATTCTTTATTATAATAAGAACTTTATCTTGCCACTCTGTATCTGAGTTTGGTGTGGTGGGAGAGGTGGCTCTGACTGGAGATAATATTACTCTTAGTATGGAAACTGCTTAGTGGAGTGAATATTTGTTCAGCATCATAATCCCTTGTTCTCCTAACCTAATTTATAAAGAGATTTATTAAAGATGATTTCTATCCAAAAACAATTATCTTCTATGCTTGCTACAGATGTACTCTGTTTGAAATACTTAAATTAAGTACTTCAGGAAACATTCACAGCATGATACAACTTGACACAACTCGTGATGAAGTCCAGCTGGAATATGGGCCATGAATTAGTTTCAGTGGCTGTGCTACATAACTGTGTCCTTGTTCCCAGATGCTGATAGGAAGGTCGGTGTGTGTGTGGTACAGTGCAAAACAGTTCCAGAAGGCCTTGACCTTGGTGAAACAACTGGATCGTGAAGGTGTCCACAGTGATGAAGTTCTATTAGACTGTGCCCAGACATTGCATCAATGCAGTGAAAATGAGGAGGCTTATCAATGGCTGAATAAGCTGCTGACTAGTACTGATGCCTTATCTGATGAAATGAAACAAGAGGTAAGCAACAAATACCCTCTTGTTAAGAGGACAAACATGACCAAAATCTGTTTCAATTACACTGGATAGGCTAGTTAACAATTAATTTACATTCTGCATTTTTATTTCAGGCAACTTTGCAACAACTATACATGTCTTGAAATCCCTGAATTCTTTTACAAGGCCTTTTCTAAAATGATATTACAGGATTGTGTTTTCTGATTGATCTGCCAATGGTGCTGAAAGGTCAGACTGTGATTTTGCTGGTTATTTTGAACTCTGCTCACTCTCTGGGTTTGTACAAATCATCAAGTTATATAGCTCTATAAATACAAGCTGTTGAAGGTAACATGATGGTCTAGCACCAACCTATACATGCTCATGTCGTCACACTTGACTAGAATGGGGATTGGCTGGTCAGGCTGTGTGACTCAGTTGATAGTCATCCTACATGTGTTATTGGTCATGCTATCAACCACATGGTTCCTTTTCAACAATATACAGGCTTATTGTCATAGAGCTGCAATACTGTATTATACCAACAAACCATATTCTATTTGTTCACAGATTTGGTGCTCCACCTGGTGGCATATGTCAGATTGCAGCCACTAGGTTATCTAAAGTCAGATATGACCAGTATATCTCTCACACCATGTGATGTGTGTTTCAGGTGGATGTACTCAAGGAGAAGTTGGATGCTGAAGCAAAGCTACAATGAATACAAAGATACTTGGATGAGGGCCACCAAAATACTGATACTACTGCCAGATATGTTCTACTGACTGACATTAGTGACATCTCAAACTTTCATACCAGTTACCACATCACACCTCCTTTAATATATATATAATGTCAAACCTCACTACTGTTTGTACATTTATATATTCATGTGTAATTCAATCATTGTCAATAGAACATACATGTATTTGCAATGCATTCTGAGTTTACCCTATCATTACCCCTTCATTGCTTTGACCCTGGATCAGGGTGCTGCTGCACAAAACGGGTTGTAGTCAAAATGGCCAAAGGACAAAAGGGTCAAAACTGAAAAAGTCAAAAGGGTCAAAGAAAAGTCAAAAGGGCCATAGATCAAAGTCAAATAAGAACATACAAACTAATAAATATGTTATTATATTTGTATCATGTGTATCAATATGTAGTAATAATAGTAATAATATATAGTGTGATCATCATACATTCAGGTGTTGATATGTGATCAAATACTACTGGAGTCTCAATGGCTGACATGGCTGCAGGTTGCTCGAACGCGACTGTAAAGTCTCCAACCATAAACTTACCTGACTGAGACTCGGGCTCAGAGCAGACATGGCAGAGAAAGTGAAATTCCTCTCCATTTTTGCAAAGACAAAGTATTCCTCTCTAGTCATATGCATGTTTGTGTCACAGCTACGATGGGTCCATCTCTGACAACGGTCTCTCTCCAGAGCATGTTGGTTCTTCCTAACTGTCTTGTCACAAGAGACACACTTTGCAGGCATGGTTACCATTTGAATTGTGGTTGAACTGTTCATCTTATACAGCATTCTGAGTCATGAGACCATTCACAACTAATTAAAACGATAATCTTGTTTAGATTATTGACTGGTGTAATTGTCACCAGTGACTCTGTTAATACCTCTTGTAATCATTGACAGTACAGTGTCTGTCAATCAACTGTCTGTCAATTGGGAGATAACCAAATTAACAGTTGTATGGTTGACAAAACTCATGAAATAAACCTTAACCACTCTGAGATGTTTCAAATAAGCAACAGAGACACTGAGATGTTTAGAATTAAAACTACTTCAACAGCATGTAATGAATTTCTTTAATCTTAAGTTTGGCCATTTCTACTTTATCTATGGCCCTTTTGACATTCCTGTTGCCCCTTTTGACTTTTCTTTGGCCCTTTTGACTTTTCCAGTTTGGGCCCCTTTGTCCTTTTTTACCTGTTCCCCACAAAACAATCTTGTTGAAGAAATGGGAGTTATAATTGCACTTGCCTCCAGACAAACAAGTGGTTGACAGATGGATATTGGGATGACACTTAACTAGGTGACGTGGTGTGCCCATCAAATCCTTCATGTTGAAAGCTGTAACAGCACTGGTGTAAGCTGGCACTTATGTTGTTTTTACCATTTGTAAAACTGTTAGTTGTCTGTGATCTTTATCTTTAGTGTTAGCTTTTATATTTTTTTACCTTTTTATAAATGAAACATTTGATTTCCTTGTTACTGTTGAAACATACTGGTGATATTGGTACTTCATCTTACCCTGATTGTACGTTTTTTTATGAGTGACATGGCATGTTAGGTTTCTCAGCTGGTCAACAATATGCTATGAGCACTGTTGCAGGTCATTGTGATGCAAATGTCATGATGCCAATAGAGTCAGATTCTATCATGTTTTACGTAGTTGATACATGTTAGTGGACCTGGTTTTCATGCCACTTGCAATGCGGTCCTATACAATAAGCCGCTAACATCTTTTGTGATGAAGATTTATTAACAGCATGAGCATCAATCTACACAATGGGGATACGATGTCAACCAGGTCAGCGAGCCTGACCAACGGAGCAGAGATCATGAAGATTGTGGTAGGACATAAGCTGTCCACATTTTCCGAAGGTGAAGTAGCGGGGTCGGATCCAGGATTTTGGAGAAGGAAGGGGCTGCACATAAATCATGAAGGAGAGAGAGAGAATAATATTTTATACATTGCATCTACTAGAAGATTTCCCAGTCATTTGGAAATGTTTCAAATATTCTAGTTTGATTGCTTTTTCAGGCAATCTTAAGCATTACATAACTTTTTATTATAGAATAGACATGGCTTTTATGTTTGTATTTAAATATTATTGACACTGTGTACATTGAATTTTGATATTTGATATTTATATATATGTTTATAACTATATTTATATTAATTTATATATTAATGTTATAATATTGCATGCCAGACCTGAACTACTCTTAACAAGACAGACACATGGACCTTGAATAAGTAGGAACAGCTCAACATTCCTTCGTAACAGTAAATTTGAAATTGCTTTGCAAGAGACCACCAAGGTATTTTTAGGATTTCACATTTCCAAAAGTTTATTCTGCACTGACATTTTTGTGTAATCCCTTTTGGATCCCTGTTAAACAATTCCAATGTATTTTGTCAATCTTTTTGTATTTAAGGTCAACAGTACTCTTGCATCTATACAAACAGTTATGACATTTTCTTTTCGTTCATAAAATTAATTTGGTTTAAACTCAACCCCTTTACAAGAGTCTTCTATGAGTGATGTGTTAATGTCATTTGGGAACAGTGCAAATAAAACATGTGACAAGGTTTCTCCTTACCTTAAACCTGACTTACATGTGTAGAAGATCGTAAAATATTCATTGCAAGAGATACATGTAAATGTTATGTTTGGGATTACAGTTTCTCCCTCAAGTACAGATTCTAAAGTATAACAGATGTGAAAGGTTTTCTTAAACAGCTCAGCATGAAAATTGGTCTGTTATGTCCAGGCTCTTTTGGATCCTCTATCTTCTTATGTATTGGCTAAATTACACCGGTTAACCATTTTCTGAGAAGACACCAGTGTCATGAATGATATTAAATGTGAACATAAATATCCATGAATATATCAGCACTGGGTTAGTAAACATCCATTGATGGTGTCATCAAGCTTTGTTATTTTACAGTATCCATTATTCCCTATTTGTTATCGCTTTGTTGAGAACTGTGCTTCCTTCTGCATTTATGTTATCAGGATCAAAATCACCTGACGATTCCCCCTTCACTAGATATCCCAAACCATACAACATATTGAGTATTCATCTGTTTTATGGACAGATTTTATGTAAAGATTCTTCATGGCAACTGCTATTTCCTACCTGTGATACTATTTCTGTTATTAAAATTCATACCCTGGGATACTAATACAATCAAATTATCTAGTTTTGTTTCCGCAAAACATAGAAATAATAATATGAAATATATTCCCTGAATTCAGGGACAAACAGTCAAGTCTTCAGACCACACACATTTAGAGACAAAAGTTTAAAATCACAATGTTATTATCAGGCAAGTTAGTGTCTAATCCAAACCGTTCACCATTTTGCTGATCTGGGGTACGTTTCATCAATGATCATGTAGATAAGGGACAAATCAGGCCATTCAAAACCTTTAAAACCGTTTTCAACTTGAAACCAAACTTTCTAACTTACACAGGCGTTGTTCAAACAGTTCTGTCGAAGCTAACAATAACCAAAATTATACACTATCCTACAATCTCCCATTTCATATATACCATCTGAACAAATACAATCAAGATTTACAGTATTTCTATAAAACACTTATTAAAAACACGTGAGAGAAGTAATCACTTCACCAAATGGGAGTACGACCTTGGACACGATATTAAGGAACGAGATTGGAAGAGCATCAATTCTATCCCATTTAGATGCACGAACGTAACTAAACTACAGTGGTTCGAATATCAAATCATGCATCATATCTTGCCAAGGAATTGTCGTCTCACTAAGCTATGTTAGGTTGACAGTACAAAATGCAGTTACTATTCTAAAGAAATGGAAGATGTCATACTTATATTCTGGGCATGCAAAGAAAATGTTCTTTTTTTGCTATTTATCGAAAAATAACAATGCTTTAAAGCTTGTCATTATCCTGTCAAAACGAATCATTTTCAACTTTAGAAACATTCCAGTTCATACAGAAGGAGTTCAATGAATTTTATAAGTTAACAAAGTACATTACTTCAATAAGGTTTGTTCAAACCAGAGAGAATAGAAGCTGTAGATTATCCCTGGTCAAACTGCCATGCTCTATTCCCTTGAATATATTGTTATGCAAATGCTTAAGATAAATAAACAAATTTTTTTTTAAATCTTGCTGATCTGTCTAGGGAAAAAAATATTAATTAAGTCTGTATTGCGTTCATGATAATGCACTACATTAACAGCAAAAGGCACAAAGCGACTGTCATTCACTATTCGCAGGTTCTTATTTCGCAGATGATGCTCATTTCCTGAAAATGTGTCGGTGTGATTGCCTGGTCACAACTGTCCTTACAGTTGCCTTGTTTATCTTCAGTGTTACGTATTTCCCGTGGCTGTCGTCGTAATTTCCAAAACCATTCTCATATTTTCACGCCTTGAAGTCAGCGTACATAAAATGGAAGTAACAAACACTTCCGATAACAGACTTATCAATAATTATTCTTGTTTATGTTCATTTATTTCCCTCTTTGTACTATTTTACATTTCTCTGCATGATATATATCTAAATGTGTGGCAAAGATGGGCAGCTGTTTAAACAAAATTAATGCACGATAGAGAAACACACATTCAATATCTTCCTCCGATTGACGAATAAACATTGAAGTGAATTTCTACTGTGTACTATTATTATTCAACTATTAACGTTAAACAGAACGTTAAAATGATATACGTTGCTACCACGCATATTACGCAACTTTATTCACCATTCGACAAACCTCTGGTACCTGGCGAAATTTATTCAAGGGACGCAACTCCAAACTGTTAACTTTTCCAAGAGGGCGCAGTGGTTTGTATACATCACTTCGAGCAGACGACGCGACATGATCACAAGTTTGGCCATAGGAGTAAAGGTTTCCTCGAATATATGGCGGTAAATGTTTCATTATGTGCAACTTTATTTCCAAACTGTACCCACTGAAAAACAGCCATGGTTCTTTCAGAAATAGCAGGATGAATGATTATTTTCTTGACATTGAAAACTATGTTCCAGAACTTCATGAACGAAGCGCAAGAGGTATATATGCCTATCGGTAGTCACACTGTGACAAGGACACCACAGTCGGACACAGAACATATCTCCAATCCTTGGGGTTTTTTTTAATTAAAACGCGAGTATTGGGGAATCAGCTCGCTTGGCAAGAGGTTGACGATACCAACCCACACACACAACACGATATCTGAGTAAATAAATGAGGAGTTTATTACACAGCAGTCACTGGATAATATTTTACATAATCAGTCAATAATAGAATGGTTTTCAATTAATTATTACATGTTCACAATGCAATCAGCTTTCAAAGTACATAAACATCACATGTAGATTCGTTACACATTTATCACAACGTAATACAATAGTTCGGTACTCTTTAATTATGATCAGCGTTTCATTGAGTAGTATATGTTTATTAGTTTTCGAGTTAGATTGCAATTCATCGGTCCGATTTTGAGCCAAACGGACTATATACTACCGTAGGAACCAACCCTTCTTGTTTTCGGGATGTGCATACCCCCCTTATAATACACGCCAATAATAGCGATTTGAAACTATGATCGTTTGTTAAACAAAATTTATCCTAAGTTGAATAAAATTCTGAGATTTAAAAGTTCAATTGGCAAGGTAAAATTATGAGGATTCGCAATCTTAATTTCACTTTATTTGATTTACTTTTTTTGTTTAAAGTGAAATCATCGGTACGTTTCCACTGCAAACAGACTATAGATGTTAATCAATATATGAGACATATTCAACACACAAGAAAGCGCATATAATATCTTTGAGATGGACCCTTGTGCTTGTAGGCAGCACGTGCATTTCATGCTAGGTGTGTCGACGGTCCGTCATCATACCTGGCTGAGCGACCTAATTGTCATCTATAGTCTGACCAATTGTTTTAAACAGCTATTCGTATTTATTCTAAGTTTTGCCCGATTTTACGAGTAAACATGCTTTTCTGGATATCCTATTAGGCATCCCATTGAACGCCCAGTTAGGCCGATGTGGGTTATTTCGACTTCTTACACACCCGTGGGTGAGAAACCCATGTGAGAAAACTGGTATCACACATATGTGTGAGATCGATTTCTAATCCCGTGATTGGCTACTCCATGGTGATGACCTAGGGTCAGGTTATGACGGACTACTTTCCTGATTAAAATTCATTGATAAGTTACTCGTGCTTCAATCGAACAGAAACCTGTTACTCGTGCAAAAAGATACCCTTTACACCTACCTGTTATTTTCGCGATTTGCAACATAAACAGGTATATATACAATGAGTCACAAGTAGAATAAATATAAAACGAATCTATTTATTTTCTAATTCCTTTTATTAAAACTTTTGATTCCTAGTCATGAATTCAAAATGGCTCCAACAATCAGTGATACCTGTGTAAACAATTATGTGAAAATCACCGTTAGAGATAAAACCCTTGATTCCTTTGATATTCAAAATGTACAACACTGGTACTTTTACTGGAGAGATGCGACAAGTGTCATGTGTCGTCTTGCAAATATACCTGACACGATAACGTCAGTGCCTGTCCATTGTGAGATCGATTTGCCTCGTTGTTTCTTTGATGCATTGATGAAGATGACATTTTTCACTGATACACATGATGGAGACCCACTTCCAGCTCCGAGATACTATGTGATTCCAATGTTATCAAATTCACTCATGACAATCAGAACCAAAACACACTCGTTGAAACAATGTACGACATGGTACGTTTTGCAAGGCTTCATGAGTGCAAATGGCGGCACACGTCCTTTCTATTCAATCGAACATGTACAGGAACGGTTGATCTACACATAAGTCATTGCTCAAGATATTCCTCCGACGCATGATAATGAAAAGTTTATGTCTTGATAACTTACAGGATGTAATCAACTCACATTTCATACTGAAAACTCCGTAAATTCCATTACATTCCAAGTGGCAGTTTCTGGCTCGGGAAAACGAGAAGGATGTGGCGAAGAAGAGTAGTCCCCCATTGATAGTGAACGTAACCTCAGCAATGTCACATTCAAGCACACTGGGTGCACCTAATTACACACACTCAGTAGTTTTGGCTCCGGTCGATGGGAGAACATGGAACGTAAACTGGTACACAAGTACAGATCCCCAATGTGCAGAGATATCCAAACAATCTTCCGATGACGACAACCACCAAGCGATAACGATGACGTCACTCGCTCAAATATTTTACGCTTGCAAGAATTAAAATCATCCACATTTGCATGGTAACATCATCGTTTTAGAGGGTTTAATTAATGGTCTGTGATCTTATCTAGTTATCATTATCACTATATTGCCTTGATGATGCGAAGAGTTGGCAGAAACCTTTTGTGGAGGGTCACCTTGGTGATGAGTAGTGATTAGGAAGCCAAGTGACGTCACTCATTCATAAACGTTGTGTTGTGTATTATTGCGCACCTACGATGAGAAAACATGAAATTTGAATCTATTCGACCATAAAATGGTGCAGTTTTATGGTGTGTAAGAAACAGATTACTGTACTCGTGTCTATCAGATACCATTTATTTACAACTCGTTGTTTCAAAACGTATTTAACTCGCTTTCGCTCGTTAAATACGTTTTGAAACAACTCGTTGTAAGATAAATGGTATCTGACAGACACTCGTTTAGTAATCTCTATTTATTACCCACGTGGTCAACGTATGGGAGTTGCATACTAATCTCGTACGTCACACGTGTGTCGTATCGCGTTGACCTGTGTCGTAACGACTTGACCTGAGATTCTAACGATTTGATTGGATAACCGATGACCTCTCAGTTAGGTCATGTTGTGACGGAACTACTTTTTCATTCATAACAAACACGTGGATCCATTCATTCTACAACTAAATGCATTGTGGGAATGTAAACATCGCGAACGTTGCCGTGTCGCTGTTTTATTGTGAGTCGAACTGAGACATTATACCCGTCGAAAAACGTAAACGCAATGTTTCCACCAGTGATGTTAGCCGAATGAAGCAACTGCAAACCAAGAAACGGGGTGCTACGGAGTAGTTTACTGTAGGAGGCTGTACGAGGCAAAGACAACTGACATGCATCGTGACGTCGGTTACCAAGGCAGTGACGTCATTACAGTGACGTCATGCAAATATTGTACTACAGTACAAAACTCTTCCGCAACCTCTTTATGAAACCGGTTTCGGTTTGAAACCAAAATATTAACAAAACTACGTTATTTTGTCAATTTAATGCATGTAAGACGTGGGTAATAAAATAAAATACCACACTCTCGGTCTCATTACATACGAATTATATGAAACTCGTGACCTTCCTATGTTATCTGACCTCGCTTTCGCTCGGTCAGATACCATAGGAAGGACACTCGTTTCGTATAATTCGTATGTAATGAGACCTCGTGTAGTATTCTCTATTTATTACTCACCCGTTGAAGATATCACTGTTTAATAATTTTACACATTGTGTAAATCACTTGGTGCCGTACGTATGACGTAAAACTGGTTTACAGTTATGACGTCACAATGCTAATACCACTGTCACAATAGTATTAGACCTTGCTTGACTCACGGAAAGCTGAAAGTCATAACACTCGTTCAATATTCTTAGGAAAGAAGTACTTTGTACTTTGCTCGATATTATTTTGCTAATGGTGGGTGAGTAATAAATAAAATACTAAACTATGTCCCGTGTAATACCATATCTATGAAACGAGTGAATGAATTGTTATCTAACGAGCGAAAGCCCTTTAGTATTCTCTATATATGCTATTTGCAATTGTGTAAATTTTAGGGATACAGAGTAACAGCCAAAAACACTTCTTTTCCTATTTCCGACAGTACTTTCAGATATGTTTTATTTGCATAACTATGTTTCATTGTACCGATCGAGTAGATTAAGGCGAGCCACCATGGTGTTCTCTCTGACAGCAAGGAGCTTAATGGCCTTTAGGGCATCTTCCTCGGATTTTTCTGAGAGGATCCGCCAGCTGAACGAGTGAGATCACTGTTCAGTGTCTCGTCGCAGCATTCAAGCTGTAAAACGCGGTCCTTCCCTGTGACCTTGGTCGCCTGGACATAGTCTTTCCATCTGGATTTAAAGTACATGTATGACCAATCTCCGCTTGTTCCGGCAGATGATATGCTTGATCGTTTCACTTTTTCTACTTTGGCAGAGATGACAGGTCCTGCAGTGTGGACTGTTGCATGGGCTTTTAACAGTGCTGCAACCACTACAGAATCTAGGTCTTCTGTCACAAAGTCACATTACGGAATAGGGCATCCAACGACTGGCATGTTTGCGTCTTGGAACTGTAGCTTAGATTCTCTGATGTACAAAGTTGCAGAGGTGAAAGATTTCCATCATAAATAAGTAGGCAATACTTTTTTGCAAATAACTGTTTATTCACGATCGATCATAAATGATGGAGATCTGCAATGAGAATAAACACATCATTTATAACGGGGATAATTAGATAACATATAATCCTCTAAATATAAGAATACTGAATACAAGAACACTGAGTCAACACAGTTTCGTTTATTTATTGAAATTGCAAACGCATTAAATGTTCAATAAAACAATTTTCGAAAACTATTTAATCATGAACACTGGTT